GTTAAACCCCCCCCCCCCCCAAGTTGTGTCTGCCTTGGCTGGTAGCTGGTTTGTCATGTGACTCCCACGGCATGACGGGTTTGTCATGTGACTCCCACGGCATGACTGGTTTGTCATGTGACTCCTGAGCTGCACCCTGAAAGAGGCCCTGGATATTTGTGCTCAGGAAAGCCTAAGTCCTGATTCCGTCTTGCCTCCGTGGAAGGCTGTCGGAGGGGAAAGGGGGGTTCATACAGGGAGGGGAAAGGCAGCAGGAAGAGCTAGAAACCGAGATGGGGCTGTTGAGAAAGCAGACGAGAGAGGGCGCCAGAGAGTTGGGGGGGGGTTCAAGAACCCCTAAAACGGTGGGTAGAAAGCAAAGGCTAGAAAAGTGGGAAGGGGCCGGGGCGGGGGGGGGAGAGGCTCCCAGGACTGAAAAGGGATGGAAATGCCATGAGGTGAATGGAATGAGGCTGGAGAGAAGTGCGAGGGGAAGAGACAAGCCAGAATGGGAAGGTGCCAGGGGAACGACAGAGGCGGGGGGACTTTGGAAGCGCCGGGCTGTAGGGCCGAGGGGCTGACCGGGTGTCTCCCTTAGCAAAGGCAGCACCCCTCCCCATCCTAACCCTCCTCTTTCCGTTCTCATTATTTGAATATTAACGGGATCAGAGCGCACGAGACAGAGGCCGGAAGTTGCCAGCAGCCACGCTTACGGGAGGACGAGTAGCCTGCTGCTTCCTGTGGCCAGTCCTCTGGGCTCCTGTGGCCACCGCCGGCCATCTGAGCAAGAGTATCCCGGTGTAGCAACTCTGGCTGCTTTTCAGCCTCCTTCCGTCCCCTCCTGGTCTAGCTCACGTCATTCCCTGCGCAGAAAAAGGTCCGACGGGCAGGACCCCCCCCCCCCCCCCCCCAGCCCGGGCCAGCCCTCCCATCGCCATCTTCACTTCCGTTGACTTTCCCAGCCCACCACTGGTTTCTGAGCACCGTCGGCAGCAGGAGCCAGCGAGAGAGAATCCGACTTCGTGGTGAGGCAGAAGGACTGGGTCTTTTCGCTCTCTCCTCTCCCAGACGGCTGTGTGTCCCCTCTGGAAGGACTGGGGGTTAGGGTGGGCAGTGGGGGATTTGCAGAATTGCCATCTCCTCCTCAGGCTGTTTGACTGATCATGTGGGTTTTTTTTTAACACTTCCTGCTGGGGTCTGGGGTGAGGCCTCCGGGTCACAGAATAGCCCGCGTCTCTCCTCCCACTGCCCACCGTCGTGGTGAGGCAGAAGGACTGGGTCTTTTTACTCTCTCCTCTCCCAGACGGCCTTGTGTCCCCTCTGGAAGGACTGGGGGGTTAGGGTGGGCAGCGGGGTGTGTGTGCAGAATTGCCATCTTCTCCTCAGGCTGTTGGACTGATCATGTGTGGTTTTTTTTAACACTCTTCCTGCTGGGGTCTGGATGAGGCCTCCGGGTCACAGAATAGCCTGAGTCTCTCTTCAGTGAGCGTCTCCCCCGCCCCCCCACTGCCCACCTAGGGTGGCTCATCTCAGGACTCGAAGGGCCACGGGGCTTCCGCAGAGTGCTGCAATCACCATTTCTACCCAGAGTCTCTGATTCACAACTTTCTAAACAATAAATTCCAGTCTGAAACTTCTGAGAAGGCCGTGCGCGGTGCTGAATGGTGCTTGGGGAGGGGGGAGTCTTTTTAAAAATAATATAATTTTTGGGGTATTTTGTGTGTGTGCGCTTGTGAGCTTGGAAGTCATGGTGACCTCTGGCGTCCCCTATTGCGGCTTGGACGTTTCAGAGAGGTGGCTTGATATTACCGGCCCCTGCGTCCCGGCCCTGGTATTGCCTGGGCTCTCCGGGTCAGGGTGGGGATGGGAGTCTTCAGCACGAAGGCTGCCAAGGGAAACAGGGCGCTGCGCATCTCCTGACACATGGCATCATAGAGTTGGGGAGGGCCGTGAGGCCATCTGGTCCAACCCCCTGCTCAATGCAGGATCAGCCTAGAGCGTCCCTGACAAGGGTCCCACCAGCCGCTGCTTGAAGGCTGCCAGTGAAGGGAAGCTCACCACCTCCCCAGGCAGCCAATTCACATGACCACCCTGGGAGCTGTTCTGCCAAAGGTACCCGTACGATAATGTAACTTTTGTTGTTGTTCAGTTGCACAGTCGAGTCCGACTCTTCGCGACCCCATGGACCAGATCACGCCAGGCCTTCCTGTCTTCTGCCGTCCTCTGAAGTTGGCTCAATTTCATGTCCGTTGCCTCTATGACACTGTCTAACCATCTCATCCTTTGCCCTCCCCGTCTCCCAGCATCAGGGTCTTCTCCAGTGAGTGCTCCCTTCTCATTGGGTGGCCAAAGTATTTGAGCTTCAGTTTCATTATCTGGCCTTCCAGGGAACAGTCAGGGTTGATTTCTTTTAGGATTGGCTGATTTGATCTTCTTGCAGTCCAAGGGACTCTCAAGACTAACTACGACATGCCTAATGGTAACCATAGCCTTTTTAATGACCAGAGGTTGTCTCTCCGGTCCACGGTTGAACCACAGCCAGCTCTCGGGTCTCTCTGGAGTCAGCGGAAGGGCTTCTCTCTCTGCCTCCCCAGCTTTCCACAGCACGGGGCACCACAGGGTGGGCGAGAGACTGAGATCGCCAGGGTGCCCAGAGGAGAGAAAGCTGGCGGTGGAGAAAGGGGAGTAAAACTGCACACACGCTCACGGTTGCCCGTTGCCTTTTCCCCCAATGGCTGCTGGTGGTGGTGGTGGTGGGGAGGGATGGTTTAACTCTGATATGTATGGCTGGCTTGCTGTCTTCCTACCAGGTGCTGAGCTGAGAGTGTCGAGGCTATGGGGAAGGGGGTGGGGGTATTGGAAAAGAGGGCTCCTTCAGTCCCGTCCTTGGCAAAGAGGCCTACAGGCAGTGTTCCCTCTAAGCTGAGTTAGTGTGAGCTGGCTCACAGTTTTTTAGCCTCCAGCTCACACATTTTTCTCTCAGCTCAGGAACGTTGGCTCCAGAGCAAACTGATTTATGCAGTAGCCAAATCGCTCACTACTTTAACGCCAGGAGCTCACCAAGTAGAATTTTTGCTCACAAGTCTCCATAGCTTAGAGGGAACATTGCCTACAGGTCAGGAAGCTTCTCGGCAGATTCGTTCCCCAATCCCACTGACAGTCAATAAGAACATAGGAAGAGCCCTGCTGGGTCAGACCAACAAGTCCACCTAGTCCAGCCTCCTGTCTCACACAGTGGCCAGCCAGTTCCTCTGGAGAGCCGACAACAGGGCAGAGAGGCCGAGGCCTTCCCCTGATGTTGCCTCCTGCTGCTGGGATTCAGAGGATGAGCACGAAGTAATGTCACAGTAAGGGAGATGGTCTACTCTCAACTTCTCCTAACTACGTTCTTTTTCCTTTACTAAAATATAAATGTTTGCTACCACTGATGACCACACTGTTCCCTTGGAAGTCAAAACGCCTATCGAGTTAAACCTGAATTAAACAATCCATTAAAGCTCTTATGAAGTATCAGAAGGGTGGCTGGAGGCGGGAATGTAACCTCCATATAGAGAGGCTGTGCGTGTCAGAATGTCCCTTGCTTGGGGTTCATAGCAGGAGCGGCGGTGCCCTTTGCGCAGGGTTTGCTGGTTTCTCTAAAGCATCTGGTTAGCCACCTGTCTCCTTGGTTAGCCCAAAGTTATGTAGGACCTTCATGCATTCACGATTCAACGGCCCCTTTTCAGTGGTATTGCTGCCACCTGTCTCCTTGGTTAGCCCAAAGTTTTGTAGGGCCTTCATGCGTTCACGATTCAACTGCCCCTTTTCAGTGGTATTGCGGGGTCGACTGCTAAGGATGCCTTTTCCAGATCGGGTCGGTCCCTGCCCTCTCCAGCCAGTGGACTGTCTTGTGCATATTCTTGTAGTTTGCCGGGGTTCAAAGAAGACACGGCACAAACAGCTTCTGCAGAAAGCTGACTGACTGACTGACTGAATGAATCCTTGAATGAATCCATGCTCTCACTCACCAGCTATATTTATTGAAAATCTGTCTCCTCCTTTCCCCCTCCCTTTCATACATTACAGCATCCTGTCATGGCGTCATTAAGCAGTAAACAGATTCCATCTCGGGCTCTCAGTACGTATATACATTTCAGTTCCCAATCTCCAGCCAGGAGAGCAGTGAATTCTTCACTGTGCCTACATATTCTCCTGCAATGTCCTTATGTGCTCCAGGTTAGACTAAAATGGATTATGCCAGGCCTTGATAAATGAACCATGTGTTGGAGGTTGCCTCAGCCTTCAGACTTCGTGGAAAGAGAGGCTAGGTAGGCACACTGAGCTTTCTTCCTGTGTCTGCTCTTCTGCCCACTGTCTCCTTTGAAATGCAGATTGTGTTCTCAGGGACAATTTCCTTCCTTCTGTTCACTCCCAGATGAAGACAAACTCTCTCCCCGCGTGCACCAAGAGAGACGACATGCCGTCCCCTCTTGCCACCATGAGGCAGAAGGGCCTCTCCCCATCTGATTCCATCCTTTAGCTAGTAAGTTAGTAACCTATCAATCTCTGCTCTTTCCTGTCCAAAGTGTACTTCTCAAATAAAGAGAGAAGGGTTTATCTTCAAGTGGTTAAGACGCTGAATTGCAGGCTGTGGAAGGTCGGTAGTTCAGCCGTTCGGGACCCGAGTGTGCCGCATGACGGGGTGAGCTCCCGTCTCTAGTTCCAGCTCCTGCCAACCTAGCAGTTCAAAAGCAAGAAATTGCAAGTAGATAAATAGGTACCACTTCGGTGGAAGTAACAGCGTTCCGTGCGCCTTGGTGTTTAGTCACGGCAGCCACATGACCACGGAAACGTCTTCGGACAGCGCTGGCTCTTCGGCTTTGAAACAGAGATGAGCACCGCAACCCTAGAGTCGGATTCGACTGGCTTTCGAGCAAGGGAACCTTTACCTTTATTTCTCTTCTAAACTTGCAATGTGACTGTGTAGCTTTCTAAGCCGAGCGACCTGGTAAAGTGACACTGCTGTGTTTGTAGCTTTATTTAAGCACTCTGCTAACTAGTGGTAACGGGACTCACCATACCAGTTAAACCACCCCACCCCAATACTACCTCTAGCAACATTGGAGCAAAAGGTTCAATCCCTCTTAGAGGATTCTGATGCCCAACGTACTTATTTTGTTCCTGGATTTCTAGATGCTGCAGAGAAGTGTCGAAGGGAGGTGTTTTTAGGCATGAGTTTTTATTTAGGTTTTTCCATCTTATTGTTCAAGAAGACCTTGGTATAAGAGCAGGGGATGAAAGTCAGTCAATAAGTAAGGTTAGCCACTGTAGAAAACGGAATGCTGAGCTAGATGAGGGCCGAGGTCGTAGTTTGCCCAGAGTGCCAAAAACCCTTGGGCCAGCCCTGAATGGGTCACCTCGCCAAAGTATATTTGGACTTGTGGGCAGTGTTCCCTCTAAGCTGAGTTAGTTTGAGCTAGCTCACAGTTTTTTAGCCTCCGGCTCACACATTTTCGTCTTGGCTCAGGAAGGACAGCTCCAGGGCAAACTAATTTATACAGCAGCCGAATCGCTCGCTCACAACTTCAATGCCAGTAGCTCACAAAGTAGAATTTTTGCTCACCAGACTCCACAGCTTAGAGGGAACATTGCTTGTGGGTCACCATATTGGAAAGCCCGGGAACCGCTGTCCTACTAGACAACTTGCGGACTTGCCTCTTCAGCGATTCTGCCTCGTGTAATATGATGATCTCTCGCAAGAGGGCAGTGTCCTGCTAGGTATAATTGGAGAGCGGGCCGGGAGGGGGGGGGAGATTTTGCTGCTCTCTGATTGGCCAGTGGACTGCAGAGATGGATGGGAAAGGGCGGGGGCTATCCTAGAGATGTCCGAAAGGCTTTTCCATTATTGCTGCACTAGAAATAAGGCCCGTTGTGGAAATAAATACAACGAGATCTAAAAAGAGGCTCTGGGAGAGTGCTCTGGCTTTGGGCAAACAGTGTCAGTCTGCTTTTAAAACATGAATCTGGGACCTGCACACCACCAGAATACAGCAGATTCCATATGCAACTGACATTCCAACTGGTGGGGGGGGCGGGGGGAGTTTGAGGTGTGGAATGGAGTGAAGTCCAATCAGCTTCCATATGCAAAAGACCAGGTTGTCGCAGCAGTTGTGGTGTGGGCGGGACCCGGGCTTTGCCTTCTGATTGGTGGCGATATATGCTGAGGAGCAGTGCCATCAGCCATACACTAAGGGAGTGCATTTTAGAATTAGAACTTTGGCACCCACTATTCAATTATATATAAGGAGAGATGAGGCTGCTGCCTTGGAAGGGGATCCCAGTCGCTCCTGGATCACCGCTGAAGACCTTCCCCACGCGGAACTGGGGATCTGCAGCTGTGCCTGGCCAGAGTGGCCTGACCGAGAAGACGTCCAAGTGCTGCTTGCAGGAGAGCCGGTCTCTGCTGGCCGCTCACAGGGTTTGGGTTTTGTTTTGTTTTTAATGATGCTTCAGTCTGTAGTCCGAGTCAGAGGCAGGCACCGCAACAGATTTTCCTGTCCCTTGTTGGGAGCCCCGGGCTCGTTTTAATCAAGGTGTATCAAGAGGGTTTTGCTCAGCTCTAAAGGCAAAGGAAAATGGTTTCGTTCAGGGAGTGTTGTAAGATGTGTTTCTAACACATGACATGGTCTCTTGTGGGATTGGTAGGTGCCAGGTGGGGATGGGTCTAAGCCTCGTAGTCATGATACGCCTCGGTCGGGCAGAGGGTCCCTTGGGAAGAGCAGGTGGGTGTCTGTCTGTTCACAGGTGTGCGCACACACACAAACACATTCAAATATTAGCCCTAGGCCAGTGGTGGCGAACCTATGGCACGGGTGCCGGAGGTGGCACTCAGAGCCTTCTCTGTGGGCACGCGTGCCATCGTCCCAGCCAGGCCCAGACCATCATTAAAGTGTCGAATTCTCTGCCAAATAATTTAAAGTAAATGCAAGCATTTGGGATTGCTTTCCTTACTTTGTTTGGATCATCTTAAATTAATGTATGAGTGGTTTTTTCTAAAGTCAAACCTCAGTATTCAGGTTAAATTGCCGTGTTGGCACTTTGCGATAAATAAGTGCGTTTTGGGTCGCAGTTTGGGCACTCGGTCTCTAAAAGGTTCACCATCACTGCCCTAGGCCAAAAGGGGGGGGGTGTTAGAACCAGCACTTTTTGAAAGACAGAAACGTTTCTGAACTGACAGCAGCAATTCTGGGGGCTCCACTGACTCGTTTCAATTTCCTGAGCAATTGGAGGGGCAGAAAGGAGAATGAGTCAGCAAATATGAACATGACAGGTACACACACACACACACCCCAGCTAGAGCCACCTGGGTTAGCCCAATTGCCATTTTTTGTTCTCAGCACTTTCTGCCTGCCATGGCACTTATCGGGCTTGAGAAGAAGAGATGGGATTCATACCCCGCCCTTCACTACCCAAAGGAGTCTCAGAGCAATTTACAATCTCCTTTTCCCACAACGGACACCCTGTGAGGTAGGTGGGGCTGAGAGAGCTCTCCCAAGAAACGCTCTGAGAGAACTTGTGACTGACCCAAGGTCACACCAGCAGCTGCATGTGGAGAAGTGGGGAATCAAACCCGGTTTAGAGTCCGCGCTCCTAACTGCTACACCAAACTGGCTCTGATTTCTGCTTTATATATAAACTATCAGCCCCCTTTGCACGGGCAAAGATTTGCTTGCACATTCAGGAAGGCAGGGGCTGTGTAACTGGGGCTGTGTTGGAGTGTTAGGTTCCTTCCCTCCTCAAAAGGCAATTTGTCTGGGGTTTTTTTATGGCGGGGGGGGGGGGGGGGGGGGGGGAGGTAGCGGCAACAGTCAGGCACAGGCAATACGCCTGCAGGGGAGTGGGTAAAATCTGTTGCTTGCTTGACTGTCCCAAAGTCAAGCTGGGAGAAAAAGACCGAGGCCAACCACCTCGCACCCTCTCTCCCCCACCCATGACAGCCACAGCAGCATGCTTGCAGGTAAAGCATTGCTTGTACCCTCTGCAGGGCCCGGCACACTGCTACAGAGTAATGGAAGCAACACGGCTTTGTTCCCCATTGAAATACAGGGTCCACAGCTAGAGATATCGGCAATGCAGCAGGAGCTGAAAGATATCATACAGGAACTCAGCAAGGAGAATCACATTTTGGAGATCGACGTCTCTAATGTAAAAATTCCACAGCTACACAGATCTTTCCCCCTCCCCCACTGTTATCATCCCAACGTGTGGGTGGGGCAGGCAGCCTCCCAGTCACATGAAATGGAAACACGAAGGACAGGCGTATGCATTTTCAAACAAAAATGGAGCAGCAGGAGATGAGGGGGAGCTAAACCCTGCCTTGTGGCCTATGTTGATGCTATCAGTGTCATCTCAGCACTGGGCTGGGCAAAAAATACAGCAAGCACCCAAGCATGACACGGGAAGGGTTAAGTTGCCCTCTTCTGCATGCTGTTTTTGCAAAACAAAAAAAGTCTTTCGCATCCCACCTCCTGCTGCTTGAGCAGTCTAGGAAAGCGGGATAAACCCTCACCGGTGTGGAGAAGGAAGGTGGCATGGTGGAGCTGTCCAATCTCAACAGATCTCAGAAGCTAAGCTGGGTGGGTGCTTGGACGAGGGACCACCAAGGAAGCCTATGCAGAGGAAGGTGATAGCCAACCACCTCTGCTTCTCACTGGCCTTGAAAGCCCCTTGCTGGGGGTTGCCATAAGTCAGCTGTGACTTCACACACACAATGTTGTCACACCTCCTTTGCTGGTTCTCCAATTGAAGGGTTTTTTGCATTGTCTTCAAACCAAGGACGCTTTCTTTTACTTGTCTGCAATAAACAGCACTTGGGTAAAGAAGAGAAGAGATTGGATTGATACCCTGCCCTTCACCACCCAAAGGAGTCTCGGAGCGGCTTACAATCTCCTTTCCCTTCCCCTCCCCACAACAGACACCCTGTGAGGTAGGCGGGGCTGAGAGAGCTCTTTCGAGGACTGCTCTTGAGAGAATAGCTCTGAGAGAACTTGTGACTGACCCATTTTTGTCTTAGCTCAGGAAGGATGGCTCCAGAGCAAAGTAATTGATGCAGAAGCCAAATCGCTCACTCACAACTTTAATGCCAGTAGCTCACCAAGTAGAATTTTTGCTCACAGGACTCCACAGCTTAGAGGGAACATTGCTCCTAACCACTACACCAAACTGGCGGGAGGGTCAACGCAGGGGAATTCCTCCCCATTGGGTGGGTGAAGAATTACAGATAGAAGGATGTTTCCTACTGATCTACAGAAAGGACTATCACATTGACCTCCCTACAGGACTAGGTTTAATTCCAATATTTAAGAACCCGACTCCAGTTCCTCAGAAGAAACCCAAATCCAAATGCATTCTCAACTACCTGTCAGCAGTCACACCCCACGTCCTGGCACCCCGCAAGTCTCTTTGAGCTCCCACCACCACCACCAAGTCCCACCACGTGAAAATCAATCGTGAAACAACACAATCTATTACTCAAACAAC